ATACAAAAGAGCAGCACAAAACCTTGCTCTATATTTTGCACAATCTCCTTTTGAAATTGTTATCGACCGATTTTCGACAATGCTGTTAATGAATTCAATCATAAAGATCCCTCAATCTAACGTTCTACATTTAAGGGAAAAATATTACAATATTGAAAATGACTATGAAACAAAAAAATGAACAATTAAATTAGAAATGCATGAAATACTTACGGTCCTTGTTGTGGCACGGCAACTGACACAAGACCATGATGCTCTAATTTCCCCAATCCCCAATTACTCTCAATGAAACTCATAAACTTATTTATAAATTTCACAGCATCGGCGGTATAAATGGGGGAGTTGATTGAGGAGTAGTGATAGAATTTTGTCTCCTCTCTCACTAACTCTACCAGGTGCCAATGTCCGGAGCTGACAATCGGGATCAGAATCCTTTCACCTTCCAAGAACTTCTGCTGAGAAACATTTTCATTCATTCGTTTTGCCACCATTTTAAGATTTCCTTCTAGAAATGCTTGCTAAAAGATGCAATAATGTCAACATTGTGGGATAACATAATAATAATATCCACCAATTAGTGAAAAAACAAGGATATACTTACTGCAAGCCAAGGTCTTGTGACATGTATCTTTCGATCATAACTATTAGTTGTTTCAATCTTGTTACAAAGCCGAATAACAAATGCATCGATCACCTACAAAAATTATCATGAATGAATAAAATAGTTAATATAAATTATCTTATATAAAAAAACATCAAACAATCAATAACACAATTGTTTAGAACCTACATCGTCACTGAGTTCACCTCCCGTTAATAGTATATAAGCATCTAAGCGAGATACGCTTGCTTCGGCACACTTCCAAATGTACGTATCACTATATGCAAGTACATTGTGAGAAAATTGCTACTAGAATTAAGTAAATTCAAATATTATTATTAGAATAAGTCAGTAACAGTTACCTGTTCATTCTCGATTGTAGAAAGTCTTCAATTAATTTGTTCTCATAATCAAACGCCAGTGCCTTACCTGGATAGTCTCTAGATGTAGGTATGAAGCCTTCTTGATTTTTGCACTTTTTTTCCCCTCAGGACTATCCAATATCTGGATGACACGTCTCTTCTTTGTGCCTTCCTTTGGTTGATCTAGAGGCATATAAGGTGAAGTAACAGAGGGTCCATCCTTCCTCTCCCTCTTTCCGACAGCCCGTTTGATAGATGGCGTTTCTCTGTTATTCTCATTACCACCTTCATCTTTTTGAGAAACATCTCTATAGAGTCGAGAAGGCATATAATTAACAAAGAGTTACACAAGAATTATATGGAAAATATAAAAATTAAAATTGCAAGAAAATTTAAAAAACTAAACTCACCGAGCATCTTCTAAAATTCTCATGTCTCTTGCGCTCATCACAAAGTCATCACATAAATCGGCTTCCCCAGTTCCTTCCAAATTCTCAAATTCTCATATTCCTTAGCTTCCATATCCTCTTTGATTTTTTTTCTTCAGTTACATTTCCGTCATCCTCTTTCTCCTTGGTTTTTTTTGGCATCTAGCACTACGCTCTTCTAATTCTCGTAATTCCGTAGTGAGCTCATTCAACTCGTACGTCTTCTCCGCAATTAAGAAAATTAATTCAGCTTTCCTTGATTCCTATTTGACAAAAAAAGCTAGTATTAGTACGTATACTATAGTTGCAAACATAGATACTAACAAAAGGGACATAAAATAATGAACTATTAGAGCAACGATATGTACAAATACTATTGGCGATGCCGTATGAATAAGAGGAGTATTCTCTTGGCCATTATCCGTAACCAACTTCGGGACTCTATATAATTTGTTCATAGTAGTCCTCCTCCACTTTCCAGTACTCTTCACACAAAAGAGCGGCGGTAACCTTTCAATATCTGAAGTGTACTCTAATTCCCCTACTTTTTCATAAAACCAAACCTACAAAAAAGAAACTACACATTAGCATGTGCATAAACAATAATCATTATCAAAATGAAAAGATATACAAATTAATATTCATGTAACTCACCAGTAAAACGGAGGAAAAACCACCCATGTACCCGGCATTTGAGCGCTGACCTAATTCCCGCATACTAAGAGACTTCTTTGATTTACTCATCTCTTTGCAAAGAAGAGTGAACACCGCATGGCACCAATTATATTTATGCAAAGTTGATAACTGCTCCGCATATCTAAACGCCCACAAGGGACATGTCTTACATGTCCGCGGGCATAATATGAAGCCGATAATGAAAGCCACAATAAGTTTCACACATATTATAGGGTCTTCATTAATCATATCTACAATCATCTCGGCCATTCTATCGCGCTTCCCCGAAATCACCGCCTTCTTTTCCTCATCGGCTTTCTTATAATTCTTTACAAAATAGGTGTAGATTGTATTAGCCGCTGCCCCACTCATTTTTATCGGAATTCCCTCCTTTGGCAATCCGGTAATTCGGTGAATATCATCTATACCGAACACACAATTTTTATTCCCAATCATGAATGAGCATTTATCGGGATTAAAATTTTGAATCAAGCAATCAATTGCTATTTGCGCATTGCTCAAGGACCTGGGTATATTGAGAAAGCTGTGAAAAGGTGTCGTCTGTAGGGCTTTTATGTGTCTTTCATCTAATTTTATTCGCTTATCAATTAAATCTCGAAAATAACACAAATTGGCCGGAATTCTCAAGTGTGTTATCTTAGCCCTACAAGAAAATTATAATTCAGAAAGAGTTAAAAATTAAATATATTTGGGCAAATTAAGACGCATATTAACAAGTTTATTAACACAAACATTATACATCATGGCTTACAACAAAATTATAATTCAGAAAGAGTTAAAAATTAAATATATCATGGCAAATTACTTACGAAGTTGGAGGATTATTGCATTTAGAAGAGGAAGGCTTTGATTTTGAAGAATTCGAAGACTGACGCTCAGCGGCGGCGATTTCGGTCGCTGGAGAGGAGGAGGGGAGGTGATGGCTAGGGCAAGGGGACGCCGGCGACGCTGAACGGGGACGTCGAGGGCTTGGCCGATCTTGGGCGGCAGCGATTTCGGTCGCTGGAGAGGAGGAGGCGGAAGGTGATGGCGCGATCCGAGCGGGAAAGAAGAGAGAAGGGTAGGGATTTTGGGGGGAAGAGATTTTCAGTGAAGGGCTCAGATCTCTTTATTGGGTTTATAATAAACCGCCCAGATCGCGCATCCTCAGAGCCAGCCTACGGAGTCACCGCAGATTCACTTTTTCCTTGTTATATTTATAGAGGAGCTAATTATGTAACTGATAAATTATCAGCAAATGTCACAATAATTTGTAAACTCGGGACCTTTAATTCATAGTTGAATATCCATCAAGGTGGATTTGATTGATGATAGGTTGGGTCTCCCTCACAACAAAAAGAGGTTGGTAGGTCGATGCAATGTATAATATCAATTGTACCTTTTTTGGTCCCTTTTCTGATTTTATCAGTTTCTTGTCTCACTTTTTCCTGCAATTTTTTTTGTCATATTTAAATTCCTCTACCCGTTTGGCAAAGGGTTAATGAAGAGGGGTTAAAGAGAAGGATTAATGTACTTAGCCCATTTGATAATCCGAAGGACTAAATTATTAACCCGTTAAATAAGTTTTATTTTAGTCCTTATGATCAGTTTTAGTGTTTGGGAATAACAATGATTTTGACTATTTTCTTTATAATTAGAAGGGTTAACTCTTATTCCATCTAAATAGGAGTATTAGTAAACCCCTCATTTTGAGGGGTTAACTCATTTTAACCCCTCTAGAGGGGTTAACTTAATCCTTCTATATTTTTTATGTTTGGCAAATTATGGAGGGTTAACTCACTTTAACCCTTATATAGATTTGTTGTGTTTGGCAGGTTAAGAAGGGGTTAAGTCTCCTTAACCCCTCACTTAACCCTTTGCCAAATGATACCCTAAGGAACAATCCTCCGTGACCTCCTCATTGTATCGAATTTTTACTATTTCCGCCATCTAATTAATAACAATTACTAGTCTGGTTAGGGACCTGGAAGAAGTTCCCATTAAAAAAAGATACACAATTGATTGATTTGCAATAGAAATTCATTTTCTGATCTCTCATACTTTTACATCAGTTGAGAATGGAGCTTGAGGGCTAAAGACTCTTGATAAGACATATCAATATAAGATACTAGTTTATCTGCAGGCGATCGATGCCGTCGATCACTGTACTTATGCAGAGAGATGGAGCCCTCTAGCAATAATTAAGCTAGTACGTCAATTAGCCTGAAACAAGAGTCCAATCGTCATTACGAAAACATAATTTCTATACCTCAGACGATCTCCCGGATGAAAATCTTCGCATGTAATCGTACAATCTCTCGGATGAAAATCCTCGCATAACTCTCTGTCGTCTAAATAGTCCTGATAGATAGGAAGTGCGCTGACTTCGTCAATCGATTAACAATCACCAGATCGAATTGTTCCCTTTGCTAGACCTCGGCAAGCCCACAATAAAGTCCATAGAAATATCTGCCCACTTCCACTCAGGAATAGGTAAAGATTGTAGGGTTCCTACGGGTCTCTGATGTTCTGCCTTCACTTGCTGACAGGTAAAATATTTCTCTACATACTCCGCAATATCCCTACGCATGCCACTCCACCAAAAATATCTCTTCATGTCATTGTATATTTTGGTTGTGCCTGGATGCACTGTGTACCGGGTGCGATGTGCGTCATCAAATAATTCCTTCTTCAACTGCGGAATATCCGGCACCACTAGTCGACCTTTCATTCGAAGGCCCCAATCTGATCCGTTAGTCTAATCAGCCTTGGGCTCTTTGGAGATCTCCCCCTTTCGGGTTTGAATCCAAGAGTCCTTCGCCTGAGCACTGATCACTCTATCAGTCCACGACCGTTGTACGGTTAAAGCTCCCAAAGATGCGCTGCTCCTGTCGATCTCCGGTGTAAAGTCAAATTGACTAAGAGTGAGAAGATCTCGATACAACGACCACCTCAAAGCTGTAAGCCCGTGATGATGCTTCCTACTCAATGTGTCTTCCACAACGTTCGCCTTTACCGGATGGTACTGAAGTGCGAACTCATAATCCTTGATGAACTCTACCCATCGCTACTGCCTCTAGTTGAATTCTTTCTGGGAGAAAAGATACTTCAGACTCTGATGGTCGGTGAATAACTCGAACTGGACCACATAAAGATAGTGTCTCCACGTCTTCAGTTCAAAGACTACCGCTGCCAACTCCAAGTCGTGGGTGGGATAATTCTACTCATGAGTCCTCAGTTGCCGCGAAATGTAAGCTACTACTCTTTGGGCATGCATCAAAATGCCTCCTAATCCCGACAAAGATGCATCCGTGTATACAACAAAAGTCTTATCACTACTCAGGTTAACCAAAACCGGTGCTATAGTCAACTTGGTCTTCAAAATCTCAAAGGCTTGCTGGTACTTCAGTCCCCAAACAAACTATACACCCTTCTTCGTAAGGTGTGTCAACAGGGTAGCAATCTTGGAAAAGTCCTGGATGAACTTCTTGTAATAGCCAGTAAGACCCAAGAAGCTATGAATCTCTGTCACGGTCTTCAGTGGCTCCCAATAAAAATTGCTTCCACTTTGGCTGGATCAACTGTAATGCCCTCCTTGCTGATGACATGGCCCAAAAATCTGACATTTGAAAGCCAAAATTCACACTTGCTGAACTTAGCATACAACTGGTGCTCCTGTAAAGTCTGCAATACCAGACGAATATGCTGCTTGTGCTCGGCCTTTGATCTCGAATAGATGAGAATGTCGTCAATGAAAACGATCAAGGACTTGCCTAAGTATGGATGAAAACCCGGTTCATTAAATCTATGAATACCGCAGGTGCATTGGTTAGCCCAAATGGTATGATAAGGAACTCAAAAGACCTATATCGAGTCAAAAAGGCGGTCTTGGGAATATCCATCTCCCGAACCCGCAAGTGATGATAGCCAGAATGAAGATCAATCTTCGAGAAACATTACGCTCCCTGCAACTGGTCGAATATGTCATTAATTCTCGGTAGTGGATACATGTTTCGGATGGTGACCTTATTTAACTCACAATAATCTACGCACAAACGTATGCTATCGTCCTTCTTCTTCACGAAGAGGACTGGTGCTCTACACGGAGAATGACCTTGGCGGATGAAATCCTAAGCAATGAGCTCCTCTAACTGAGTCTGTAGCTCCCTCATCTCAGCATGTGCCATACGATAAGGTGCTCGCGATATTGGTGTTGTGCTCGGTTGCAGCTCGATGCAAAACTCAACCTCTCTCACTGGAGGCAATCTAGGTATGTCCCGAAAGACATCTTGATACTCTGAGACTACTCATGTCTCGCTCAAATTGGCACCCTAATCCCGCATCATCACCTCCTCGACGTATGCTAGAAATGACTTCATAAACTGGTTGCCCCGTGAGGTGGCTACAACCAACTTAAATCCATCGTATGCTCACAAGCTAACTGTTTTCGCAAAACATTCGATACTAATATGGTAGAAAAATAGCCAATCCATACCAAAAATAACATCAAACTCAGACATACGCAATATAATCAAGTCAACTACGAACTCAGACTCGTCTAAGATTATAATGCATCTTCTATAGATACTCTCTAAGAGGGACACCTCTCCTAAAGGAGTAGAAACTGACAGAGGAATTTCTAAAGGCTGTACTACAATATGGAGTCTAATCATGAAAGCATAGGAGATGAAAGAATGCAAAGCTCTTGAATCGAAAATACGGGCTGGGAAGGAGTTCACAAGGAATGTACCTTCCACCACGGCCCCGCTCGCACCATGATCGTGTGGTACTATTGCATACACCCTGCCTGAGGTTGCGGACTGTTACGCTAAAAGCTTTGTAGTATACGAGACTATCTATCACTGAGGAATCTCCTAAATAACTTGGACCTGTCCTGCTAGCCCCTCAATCCTTGGAACTTGGGTGCCTCAAGTCTCAGCTGCTGGCCTTGACCTCGGTCCTATCCATGGTTCTGTTGCTGTTGACCCTTAGTCTTGCCTATTGTCCTCCTGCTGGTGCATTGCGGCATTTTGCGGCTCTGTGACCGATCATGTGGTAGTTATACAAGCACCATGAAATTTATCTTGCTGTTGAGGTACTCTCTGATCATGCTGAGGTCCCTTTTTATGAGGGTCTTGCTGCAGCGAACCCTTGCTTGCTACTGGGGTCCTCCGGGTCCTGAAAATGATCTCTTGCCTTTTCCCTTGTCTCCGGATAGTCCTATTCTAGCATTCCCTTCCTTGCCTTTCCGAAACATGGCAGTCTCTGTCTCCTGTGCTTATAGTAGTATTGTCAACCTCCCGTACTGAATGGAATCGTCTGGATACAAGATAGAGGCATAAACTCGGACGAAGTCCTATCAAAAACATCTAAGCCTAACGCTACCCAGTCTGCCACATGCCCGTGAACCTGAGCAAACCCACAAACTTGCTCTCATAATTGGCTACAGTCATGTACCACTACTCCAACCGAGCTAACTCCAACTCTTTGCCGATATATATTGCTCGTCGAAGAAATAGATGAGTTCCTCCCAAGTGAGTGTCATACACTGCTCTGGAGTGAACTGAAGTCGCTACTACCCTCCTGCGTCGCCCTTAAGGCTGAATGTTGCTAGCCTCTGCTTCTGTACGGTGTCCACATTAAGCATGTCCTAAATGTTCCCCACATCTTCCTTCCACTTGTGCGCCGCAAGTGAATCCGATGTGCCATGAAACTCCGGTACCATCATCTTCTCGTATCTTTCCACAAAATAGAGCCAAGCCTCCTACTCTGCAGCCCTATCAATAGCTAGTAGTGGTGTGACTGTTGGCGACTCCTCTGCAATAGGTACATGAGTTGCTGGTGGCGGCACCACTGGA